AAGGTGGAAAGAGAGAAAATGACAGACTAGCTATTGACTTCAGGACCCAAAGAACAACACAATGGTGAGGGCAGCAGGTGTCGTTTCTGCCTCATGAATTCTAGACCTGGAGCTGAAGAAGTCAACACCCTGAGAATGTCACAAGCATCAACAATTGGCCTGGTCATGGTGGTACATGCCAGTAATCCCAGCAATTCCGGAGGCTAAGGTGGGAGGATCACAGGTTCAAGGTCAGCCTCAGCAACTTAGCAAGTTCAAGGTCAGCCTCAGCAACTTAGCAAGACTCTGTGTCACAATAAAAAATAAAAAGAACTGGGGATATATGTAGCTAGGTGGTAATGTGTGCTTGGGTTTAATTTCCAGTACCAGAAACAACAATGAGAGAGAGAGAGAGAGAGAGAGAGAGAGAGAGAGAATATAGATTTGAAAAATAAAAAAGAACAAAGCCCAAGGGATCTGTGGGACTATACCAAAAGATATGCCAGAAGATGCCGCAGTCTGAACAGCCCAGAAATTTGCAACCTGTGTCTCAGCCTTTTCTAGCTTTGTGCTTGGGTTGCTTGTCTGAGGACACATCCATACACCATGTTTTGCACCATCATTGGGAACAATTCCGATTACGTAATATTAGATTTTTGAGGGAGGCTTTATTTTATTAGATTTCCTCCCAAATTTTATTGATTTTTTTCCAACAACGTGCTAGAATATCATGCTTTCAGATGGCTGTGTTAAAGTTAATCTATACAATCTTCATGATGACCATTTTTGTTGTTTTGTGGGGAAATCAAGTCAATGCCTGCAGACTTTGAGCATAAGCATTCATTACTTAAAAGGAAATTAAAATTGTGTACAATACATTTTTCAGAGTCATACTGACCTTGGCCTTTTCCATAACCAAGAACTGAGTCCTGAATACCACGTACCCTCTTTAATTGCATAGCAATATGCTGCCTCTTGGTGAAACTGATATAAAGCTACTTAACTATGAGAATGGCCAAAATAAAAATAGGGCAATACCAAAGGCTAGTAAAGATAAGACGAAATGAGATCACGCATATGTCACTGGTGGGAATATAAAATGGTTCTGGCGCTCTGAAAAATAGTTTGGGGATTCTATAACAATTAAACACACAACTACCTTCCAACCCAGCAATTACACTTCTGAATGTGGACCCCAGAGAAGTGAGAACTTATGTCATGGAAATTTTACATGTTTGTACCAGCTTTATTAATACTACCCCCAACTAAAACAACCTAAATGTTCTTTCAGTGGTTGATTGGTTGAATCAACTTTGGTACACCCATATCACAGACTACTACTCAGTAATAAAAATTACCAAACTGTTGATACACATGATTACCCAGGTGAATTTTCAGTAATGTATACTGAGTGAAAATTCTCAATCCCCAAATGTTGTATACTGTACACTACCATTTATACACTCTCAAATGGATACAATTATAGAAATGAAATTAATGGTCTCCAAGGGTCAGAAGGGGTGAGGGGAATGGAGAGAGGATGTGACTATAAAAGGTCTACAGGAGGGACAGAAATGTGCTTGTCTCAACTGTAATGATGTCATCATCCTGATTGTGATAGTAATGTACCATAGTTTTATAATGTATGACCTTGTGGGGAAACTGGGCAAAAGGTACATGGGATGTCTCCTTTATTTCTTACCGATGTGAATCTATAATTGTCTTAAAATATTTAATTTTTTTAAAATTAACCATTTTAAAAATGAAAGTCAATCTTGCCAAGTTTGAGAAATCCTAATCTATAAGGAAAGCCAGATTCATCCAAATTAGGAAGTTAAGGGATAGGGTGCTTGCCCAGCCTAGCATGCTCAATCCCTGGGTGCCATCCTCAGCACTGGAGAAAAAATAAAAAGAAAGGCAACATGGAAGTAAAAAATTAACATCGACCTATTTGAGAGGAAAATCGGGGAAGGTTTCACAGAATTTGTCACATTTGTATTGAGTCTTACAGAACATCAGGTTTCCAAAAATGGAAGGTAGAAAAATGGATTTTAGACCAAGCTGAAGATGCATAAAATGTCTCCCTGTGAAGAGCAAAGCTGTGGTACAGCATCTTAAGGAGGCAACGATGAGCTCCTTTGGGGCGTTGATCAAGGAGAACCTGGAGCAATAACTGCTGAGTTTCAAATGTGAAGCTCTGAATGGCAGCTCTAACTGATGGCACTGTGGGGAGCACAGCTACTCTTCTACTCTGGTTCCAGCCTCAGGAGCAGGGAGAGGCAGCAGCCTTCATACCTGCTACTTGGGTAAACCAAATACACCTAGCACTGCAGCAGCCAGCACTCCTTAGCAATAGGTGGCATTAATATGGAAATAGGTTAGGAAAAGTGCTGGAAGAGGAGACCAGAGATGTAGAAAATAAAAACGACAACACCTCTGATTAGGGAAAGAAAGGTAAGCTGATTCCAAAGTTTCTAGTCTTCACTCCCTGCAAAAATGAAGGTGCCCCTCTCAGGAGGTCCCTTCCTGAGATAGGGCCACATGAAGGTTAAACAGATTTGAGGAGGGACATGAGGTTTGGTTAGAGACATGTGACTTGTGCTGTGATGCTGGCTGTGTCCAGGAGATAGTTGGAAATTTTCATTCTGCAGCTCAGGAGAAAGAAGCAGACCGAGAGTTGGCATCAGAAGATTGATGAGGTCATTTGAGTGAAAATTGTTTCAAGGATAGAACTTGGGAGAGTATCAACTTTCAGGTTTCTAAAAGTGATGGAAGAGAAGAGACCAGAGATGTAGAAAATAAAAATGACAACACCTCTAAAGTCTGGATGGGGAATCCCACAGAGGAGATGATACATCATAAGAGTCCAGAGCTACAAAAAAAATCTTACAGGGCAGACATGAAAAAGGAGCATCACCTAGACACCTACTCTACTAAAGGCCATTATATTAATATATTTATGTAATTATTATTATATTATTATTTTATATGATTATATTTTATATATTAGTATTTTATACATTACATATAATCATGTGTAATGTAAATATGTAACATAAATTATATTATTTTATATAATCATATTTAATCATATAAATTTAATGTGTATTAGAAAATATTAAGTAATATATATTATTTGTTTATATTATTTTATTATATAATAGATATTATGTTTATTATAAACATGATATTTATATTAATGTCATTTATTATAATATTATATTAAAAGTCATTGTCTGATAGTCCATGGCAAAAGTGAGGGACTGGGCAAGGAGTGTGTGGGCAGATGGCACTAGGTTTTTTTTTTTCCTACTATAATCTGTAATATTATTATTTAAGTTATTTTCTTCCCATTCATTTTCTTGTACCTAGGGAATTGTCCTATAGCATCACTTTAAACATTATATAACTTTATTTAAATTTATTTATTTAATTCCCTAGGTACTAATAGAACCCCAGAGAATAATTGAGATAATTGAGTGATAAGAAAGTCTTTTATCTGAGAGAACATGTGTAATGTCTCATTTTAATTTAAATCATCATATTTATAGTTTGCTTAAATACAGTTTCTTTTATTGGAAATGGAATATTGGTGAGTAAATAAAAGTTTACATTTTAGCTTTGAATTTTAGTTTTAGATTTCAGAGCTACATTATGGAGTGTGTGTGTGTGTGTGTGTATGTGTGTGAGAGAGAGAGAGAGAGAGAATTTTATGAAAATTATATTTTGAGCTTTCCAATTGTTGATTAAGCTCTCTTTTTCCATTTCTGATTTTACTGAGAGTCAAAGAGTTTATTTCACAACTTCTGGAAGTATCAGTCAGTAGCAGAGTTTGAGGTTTTAGAGGCTAAAACTAACCTGGTAGAAATTCAAATCCATCTTTTATCTTTTAGATAAAAGTCTTTGAAATCCTTTTAGTGTGAAGTTATCAGCAGGCTTGATTCTCATATAACCTCATTACTAACCCGAAGATTATTCAAAATGCATAGAGGGCAATGCTCTGTGGCTGAAACTTGTTTTTTATCACTACTATGCTCCAGTGATAAGCCCCATGTGGTCCACCTGGTTTTGCTTGGGAAATTCTGTCTGCTTTCTCCAAAATACCTTTGGAATCCACAGACCTCAGCACGTGTGGGAGACTCTCATAAAATACACACCAAAGAAACCAGTTCAATTTTTTTGAGCATTTCCCAAACTGCAGAACCCTCTTCCACATTAATATTTCATAACTCACCTAGGAATGTTGTAAGATGAGAAATGGAATAGAAAATTTGAGGGATCGATGCTTTAGAATTGAGGTCTCTATTGCTGGACATGAAGGCAGTGCTCCGTGTACCTTTGTTTTATCAACTGGACTTGGTGAAGTATAAGAAAACCCAGCATCTTCACTGATCTATCTTCTCCCTCTAGAAAGGCAGGATTTGGCTTATTAGGTGCAAGGGTTTTCCATATATTCCTGAAAAAAAATTTTCTTATCAGTTGTTGCTACTACTTTCTTTCAATGGAATGAGTGCTTCATTAATAAATAAGGAGGTTTGTTGTGGACAGGGAAGTATAAACAGAATTGATCTATCAAGTTCACCACTTGTTATTTTAAGGCTTACTTAAAGCAAGATAATTCATTACTTGGGGGACAAACCTAATTTCCCAAACTGAAACTACGTAGTGATTTACTTATTCCATAAGTGTATGATCTTATCTGCTCAGATTTACATTTGGAGCTATAAAACCTCTGGCAGCTTCTCCTAGTTGTCTGCATGAAGAGGAGACAGGAGATAAGAACATTCCAGTTTTTATTGCTTTCCAGAACATTTGAACTTGGGGTGGGGATGAGAAGGTGCACCTATTGTAGCCATAAATGTCCACTGAGTCTGATACCTGAGAAGTAAACCCGGGCTCTTTGGAAGGTGTGGTAAGTATCTGAAGCCACTGTCCTCCATTTACCAAACTCTGTCTGAGGCTTAAAAGAAAATCAAGAAGAGAGCTGCTGCCTGCTCTCTGTCCAAAAAAATAAGTACCCCAACTTGAAACTAGTGTAGGGCTTTGGAAGAATCATTGCCAAGTGTAAAGCTTTCAATTCTTCATTCTCAGGGTAACCTTACTCACCCTGCTCCCAAACTGCTCCATAGAATTCTGAGCAAGCTTGAGACAGCCTCAACCTGATTCAAAAAAAAAAAAAAAATTCCAACATCTAAGCCAGGGTGCAGTGTGGGGACAGCATCTGAGGGAGGATGTTGACCCTATCAATAAGAAGCCATTTGGGATTCCTGTTAGGTGGGATGTTTGAGAAGACTTTCAAAACCCTCAATTTTCACTGCACATTGTGACCCACACCTGTAATTCCTGCCACCCTGGAGACTGAGGTAGGAGGATTGCAAGTTTAAGATCAGCCTTAGCAATTTAGCAAGGCCTCTACACAACACAGTGAGACCCAGTCTCAAAAAAAAGAGGTGTGGGGGGGCGGTCCCAGAGATTGGGGATGCTGGGGATGCAGCTTAGTGGTAAAATGCCCCTGAGTTCAATCTCTGCTACCAAAAATAAAATAAAATAAAAACAGAGTTTTCTTGACTCAATGCAGTCTACATTAATTCATTCTGGGGAGCTAAAATTCTTAAGCTTTCTTCTTTGAACATTAGCGCTTTGGTTAAAAGCTGCCAAAATCATGACAGAATCTGGTAGGGGAAATTTTTATTGCCTAATAAATAATATCATAGAAGATCATAATTCCATATTAGCTACTAAATATCCAAAATGTATAAAGCATGCAAACTTGGGTCTAAGATATGGATGAAAAACAGCTTAGTGACATTTCTTGAGAATTATTCATTTTCTTTTTTAATGTAAAAGTAGAACGGGAACATTCTCCTAAATCCCAGGCTTAGAGAGCTGAACGCTGCCTGGAGGCTCTGAAGAATTACGTTGACAAAGCCATTTTTCTTTAGTTTTTAAATTACCAATAAAATAATTCTCTAAAAAGAATTTTGAAATAAACCTCGAGCTTTCAGACTCATGAGTCTAGAGGAACTTCTACGAGCTCCCATCACGGTCATCATCTTCTGTCCCAGAAAGACACTGGAATCATGCTGGGAGAAATGAAGCTTCTTGGATCGCCTGAGTTGTTGGGTTAATCTTTCTTCCTAATACATCCTAGATCCAGCTATGCTCTGTGGCAAGACATTCTCTTGAAGAGAGTCATTTTCTCAAAATAAAATGTGTCTCTTTCTAATAGTTCTGCCCTTACATGGGAATACCTCTCTCTCTCTACACACACACACACACACACACACACACACACACACACACACACGCTTCTGCTGTGGTTTTTCATCCCCTGCAAGACCATTGGACCTGCTTAACTTCTTTTCTTTTAGTCCTATATACTTTGAAACTTTTAACCCTTTATCTTTCTGAAAATTGCCGACCTTGCCTCCTAAATCAACACCCCAAACCACTCATCTCCTAAAGATAAGGACAATGGAAAAATTTTTTAGAAACGGAAAGAGGGATCCCTTGAGGTCTCCATTTATGGGGCTCACCATGGATAGAGAGACCTGCGTTCTCTGGAAGGCTGTGTCCTACTATGGCGAGATGGATCTCTCTGGGGAGATCTTTGGGAGTGGATATATACTAGGGGTGGTATATATCCTATGTACTGTTAGACCTTTTCAGTAGCAGGAGTGTTCACCCTCCTGTGGGGTTCCTTTTTAGGTAGACTGGGCTCATATTTCCCATCTCAATTAAAGCATATTTTCTCTGTTAACAGAGACCAGATACTGCTACACTCAGCACACGATGGAAGTCACAGGAAACAGCATCTCTGTCACCAAACGCTGCGTCCCACTGGAAGAGTGCTTGTCCACTGGCTGCAGAGACTCGGAGCATGAAGGCCACAAGGTTTGGCAACACAGCTCGTGGTGGCATGGCATAGTCAAGTGTCCCCCCACCTCGGAGGGCTATCTCCCTTCCCCACTTGTAGGCTGCCCTGTCTTAGAGCACTGTGAAAAGAATCCATCCTTTTCTGTCTGCTCTAAAAGAGTATGAATGAACACCAGGGCACAGGAGGACAGGTATAAATTGTGCAAGCCCACACCAGAAGGATGCGGAGGATGATCTTAAGTCCTTGATTCACTCAGGAGAGTCATAAAAAAGCTACTGGAAGGGAGAGAAGTGAGGACCACTTGTGCCACCTTAGCAAACATTGTTACATCCCAGATGGAACAACAATCCATCCACCCGAGGGGGCCCCAGGCAATTTAGCTTTGATAACTTTCTGCAAAGTGAGGGATGCTAGTTTGTGGATGTCTCCACTGGCTCCTGAGTCATTTGATAGGTGACAAGAGAACCACCTTCCTGTGGATCTGTTCCTCTTCAGCTTTGTCAGTGCCTGTATACAGAAGTGCTTCTGTGTAAAATGAAGTTCAGGGGCCAGCCATGAAGGAGGACATAAAGAATCAGAGAGAGGCAGTCTGACTCGTGGTCAGAATGAGCGATGCCCCAGCCTCTCCTGCTGGCTGTGAGTGTGCTCTTAACAAATCAGGCCTTGTCCTTTGTGACATCTCCTACTTCTGTCAGGTTGCTTTCCTGGGGATTTAGGCAGTTTTCTTCCTCATACCCTGAAACAGTACTGTCAGTGACAGATGCCTAATTTTCAAGTGACTTCTCAAATACACTAAGAATTAAATTCTTATTAAGAACGAAAGCCTACTTGTTCCTGGTTTGAAATATGAAACATAAAACCAAGGTCATAACCTGACCCCTCCTGTCAGCAGGGCCAGGCTCAAGGGTTGCTGTGGTGTCTGTACCAAGGAGAACATGGAGGATCAGAGAACTTATGTCCTATGTTCAGGTCACACAGTCAGCAAGCAACAGAAACAGGATTCAAACTCATTTCTGACATCTCCCTTCTCAACATTATACTCTCTCCCCCATGTCAATTATGACCAGAGACTCAAATCTCAGCAGGATGATGGTGTAGGATATTAACTATCCTATGAATATGAATCATCTGGGATCTCATTAAAGTGCTGATTCTAATTCTCTAAGTCTGACGCAAAGTTTTGAGATTCTGCATTTCTAACGAGCTCCCAGCTGATGTTGAAGCTGCTGGTCCGTACTTTGTGTAGCGATGGCCTAAAATAATTGCTGTCAGTAACCCTTTGGGTTTATTTCTTTCATATAATTCAGGAGTAAAGCAGTATAAAGCAGCAGTAATTGCATAAATGAAAACCCTTCAAACGTTAACTCACCCACGAGAATGGAGATAATTATGCAGATAGCGATAATGAAAGTAAATATTCAAGTTTAAATTACGGGGGCTGCTGCCACTTCATTTTCACTGTGAAAACTTGGCAGAGGAAGGTGTACCCTCCTGACAGCTGCCTCAAGTAGTCAAAAAGAGCATCTTTGAAATGGAAGAGCAGTTTTCAAAATCCCATTTCACAGGTGGAAGAGCTGGAGCCCAAAGGTCATGAAACTTCTTGAGGAACCACGTGGCTGAATGTCAAAAACAGAACCCTAGTGCCTTGGAGTTAAGGCTGGGGGTTTCATTCTGACCATGTTGCTTCTAGCTGGAATATTATCCCCACCCTCCCTAAATGTTGGTTGGCATTTCCTTTGTGGGATAGAGCATTTTCATTTGAGTTTTGCCCTAGGGAGACAGTTGCTATAAAGACACCTGTCTCCTGCTGGGACCTGCTGGCTTCTCACCACCCACCTTTTCCTCTTCCCTTCTTTCAGGTCTGCACCTCCTGCTGTGAAGGAAATATCTGTAACTTGCCACTCCCCCGAAATGAAACTGATGCCACGTTTGCCACAACATCACCTATAAATCAGACAAATGGGCACCCGCACTGCATGTCGGTGATAGTGTCCTGCCTGTGGGTGTGGTTAGGACTCACATTATAGCAGCTCAACGGTACTGTGTTTACTAGGGATCCGTGGGATCTCACTGTCCATAGTCATGCATGAATCATTGGCCTGACCATAGTCACCCGTGTGAGACTGCACCAATCACAGATGTCATCGTGGCCAGGCATCCCACTTCCTACGAGACACAAGCATTGCTTCAGTATTGCCATTTGGCGTCTAACCAAGACCCCACCCCCACCCCGCTCCCATCAAAGCCAGCTTGCTCCCCGTATGGACCCTGAATTCCATACCACAAACCTTTGTTTTGACACCAGGAAATAGTTCTGCGTTTATTGTAACCTAGATTATTGATTTGGAATACATGCATGAGCCGGAGGAGGACCCGGAACCCTCTGAGATGTCAGGAATATGTTATGTGGACATGTATACACATTTGTTTTTCAGGAGAAAGGCAATGGACCACTGCTTTAATTACAATCATGAATCCAGTTACAGCTTTAGAATTTTAAAACTTTGAATCCAAAACGATTGGACTATTTCCTTTGAGATTCTGACTGAGTTCCTGAAAGAGCAGCAAGCAATTTGCTTAATTTAATTTTCCCAGCCTTTTTCTCTCAGTCATATTCCCTCAGCTGCATGGGAGGATAAAAAGGAAGATGTAAAAATCTGGTGTATTTGTAAGGGCGGCTAGAAAAGAATTTTCCCAAACTTAGTGGAACTGATACCATCAAACCCTTCATGGAACTGGGGAGACTGGCCTTGACTTTGGGCCCAGTTATGCTCCAGGAGATCCTGGATTCCACATGGGCCAGTGGTGTCCACAGAGTCCCAAAGCAGGATGGGGGTCGTTTTCTTTAGGTGTTGGTTTCTATTCTTGCGTAGCTAATCTAGACAGAGAGGATTTAGAATGGAAGGAAGATGTGTGGGTGTTAGTCGTAATTCATTTTGAGGGCCCAGTGACTCAGCCAGCTGCTTTCTCTATCTGCAGTTCTTACTACCAAAGAACCTTCTCCTTCCAAATTCCCAGAGACTCAGGGGGAAGGTTCTCCATTAAATTGTCTCTAGATTAACAGTATAATATACTAGAATGAGAAAAAGGTAGATTTTGAGATTAGTAAAGAGACTCCATGGGAAGTTTTTTTGTTGTTGTTGTTTCTTCTAGATCTTACTTTTGAGGTAGAGGATACAATTTTTGCCATCTTTCCTACATTTTCGGCACCCAAAGTTGTATTTCTTTGTTCTCTCTTGTAAATCCTTTAAACAATATTTATTTTTGTATGGCATAACTGGAAACTAAAATATATTCTAAAAAAAATTCTTTATTCTGAACAAAATGATCAAATTAGAATTACTTATTTTTCAACCATGGTAGAGCTTGTAATATATGTTTGTTGAAAGTTATCTATAATACTTCCACTGGTATTGAGAAAAGTTAATATGTCGTGAGCAGGAGTAATGTGTTTTGTCTCAAGGTTCTTGCTCATGGTTTCCTTAGTGGTGTTGTCCCAAAAATATGCTGGTAGAGACCATCAGTGGTCTGAACTTTTCTGCAGGGTTATGGGACATGTTTGCATGGAACTTGGAGGAGCCATGACAGTGTTGTGAGGACCCATCTGTCCAGCATAGGAAACTCTCTGGCTCACAGAAGGAGACCCCCTCAGGGACCCAATATGAACTGACAGCAGTAACCTTGATACAAAATAATCTAAATTATATTACATAGCCTTAATTCAGAGTTTGGTAGGCTTATCAACTTGTTGCTTATAATTGGGGCTGGGATAATAGAGGGAAAGTAAGCAAGACACTCATTAAGCAACACCTGTGTGCCAGGAACTATGCTAAGCACTTTACGTAATTTAGGTCATATAATCCCAGTGAAAGCTCAGTGAGGAATATTACTGGTATTTAGACTTTAGAAATGAAGGTACTGAGGCACAAAAAAAAACCCCTCAATAACATGAAGCCTTTTCTTTAGATTTAGATTATATGTGATGAAGCAGGATTTAAGAGGAAAGGAAAGTAGAATTATTCTCCTAGGAAAACTTCCAGGCTTGACTTCATAGCAATTTGTCCATCTTATCATGTGGAATTTATTTTGTGCAGGATGCCTTTGCATGTGTCCCCAGGTGATTTTTTGTTTTTCCTCTAGAAAGTAAGGGTATGGCTTCCTTATTTGTCTCTCTTGCTGAAAGAGGAGATGGTTGATCTTGCATCTAAAGATGCTTTAACCTGGGTTCTCTCCCCAGTACCACAAATAAGTGAATAAAGAAATATGCTATAAGACAATGAAAATTTGATGTTGTACATATCTACATTTTTGTGCATGGTCACACTCCACTCACATTTTCCAAGTACTGCATGTGATTTGAACAAGAGATAAGAAAGTGACCACATCAGAGCTTCCCTGGCTGGTGTAGAGGGATCGAGTCTACAGTGGTACAGATTCCTCCACCCCCCAGGGAGTTATTGCAGACCACACAGATGTGCTGCATGCACCCCCTACACCTGTTAAAATGATTTTTGTTTAATTCTCTTGAAAGAAAGCAGTTTGTTCACCATCCCCAGCCTCAAGGAACCAAGGAAGGGCCATTCATGTTGAAGGTCCAGGACTAGTCAGCCATCTGACTTTTCTACCACATTAAATTTTCCATTAAATTCTCACTATTGGTGATGGCTTGGAGTGCAAAGAGCCATGGTGTGTATATTACCCTATGTGCCACATATTTATTTTTAGATTCTCTTCATTCATGTCAATATGAGATTAATGCCTAGATGTTGTAAATATTGTACATTTTGTAAATCAATGAATAAAGATTTTAAGTGTTATCTCAACAGACTCCTTTCTGCAAATGTGCATATCAATCAAAGATTAATGCACCCAGGTTATGTACAATGCTCTGGGCTTAGCACCACAGGGAACTTCCCTCCAGAAGCTCCCTTTCGGGTTGTACAGATAAGACATACATGCATGAAAAGATACAAGGCAATTCACCCATACCAAATGATTCATATGGACTTTAAGTGTTATAAAAAATCAAAGAAAGATTATCAAACTTCAATCACATCTACACTTCCCCTTGAACATTTCTTTGTTACTTCGGGAAATATAAAGGTGTTATGTATGTGTATTGTATAAATAGATCATCCAATAACCTTTATTTATTTTTGTTTTACTTATATTTATTTATTCTTTTGTAGTGCTGGGGATCAAATACAGGGCCACATGCATGCTAGAAGTGCTCTACCCTTGAGCTATATCCCCAACAAATTTTAAATATTATTCTATTCTTAGGGTGAATTATTTTAATGATAAACAATAGAAAATATCGACTCTTGATGATTTCTCCTGCAACAAGAAACATATTCATTTTTATCTATACAATGCATTTATTTTATTTCTCTTATTAAAACAATAGATTGAAAGCAAACCTGAAAAGCTTCAGCTTGTTTGTGACTCCAGGTTATTATTTAATGTTCTATATTTTTAAATTTCTAGGAAAAATATGCCTTTTCCCCAAAGTTAGAGGTTTTCTATTATGTTTTTTATCGGTGATGTAATTGCTGTTTTTTAAAATGTTGCAATTACATAAAGATAGTTCTAGCATTGACCTCCATGAGCAGCTCCGTGTATGTAACATAAACGGCACTGCAGGTGGACAATGTTTTTAGAAAATATGATTTTGAAAACACAAACTTACATGTTTAAAAAGATCTTTCACTTTATAAATGCATTCCTAACATATTTGTAAGACTTTATTTACAAAATTTAGGTCATATCAGTATGTGAAGTCAGAGGTGATGCTTTGTCTACATTATAGTTTAATTTAACTGAAATGCTTAAAGAAGACTCACAAATGTTCTTAATAAATTTTCCTTAACTTACAGGAGTGAAATATTTGAAAATGCTTTGAGCATGTGTTATTAATCCTTACTGTAACTGGGAGAATTTGACTTTAGAGAGTCAGACATTTTTCCATGGTTGCACAGAAACTTGGGGCAACACTGAGCCATAAATACGAAGCATTATGGCTTCAGTTTGGAGTCCTCTCCTCTGGGATCTACTGTGAAACACATCTATGAATTTTTTAAATATAAAAGTTTCTGACCTATTTTGGTACCATAAAACCGATGCAGATTTCCAACATGCCACTCATAGTAGGCTTTATTCTCATCACTCTCATAGCTGACTTTTAAAACCACGGCTTCTCCCATTGGCAAATTGCTATTATCTTAGTATTACCTTTTGCAAAATTGAACTTCATTGCAGTTTCTGGAATTAATAAGATAGGTAGAAAAATTCTATGTATGGTATTTTAAACTAAGCAGAAACTTAAAATCCAGAGCTGAGAAATGACTCCTGAAGGATTCTCTTTTCTTTTCTCCTAATAGCAAGCATGATTGTTTTACATGATTTTATTTTCAAAGCACTTTCATATACATTTCTTCAGTTGATCAACATGACCTCTTTTCAGTTTTGATAGCTAAAGCATTGCAGTGGTTAAGGAGGCCCCACTGTTGGTTTACACTACAAAAACTTTGATTCCTGATCCACAGCTTTGTTCCAGGATGATACGCATGATGGCCTCACCCTTCTTTGGCATTTTACGAAAAAGCAATTTCTCAGGTCACAAAACATCTTGTCCACTTTTTAATTTTATACAGGAGAGAAAAGAACCCCAGAGAACTCTGATCATTTGTCTCTGAGAGTACCACAATACTGTGTTAAAGAAAGGATAGAACTCTTCAAAATGTCCTTTATTGGATACTCAAAGCAATTATGACTTGGGTAATGGGAAACAGCCTAAAGGTATTCTCTTTCTTTACTTACCCTGCAGCAATCAGAAGTACATGAGGACTATCACGGTGGGGAAGGACAGAGAAAAATCACTAGAAAGGGCAAACTTTTGCCAAAAATATAAGCTAGCCTAATGGAAAAAGATTGTTCATTCTAACTGGAGAAGAAAATATTCTTCAAAATAATCACCATCAAAATCATGTCCAAAAAAAGCAGAATAAAATTAGTTTAGTTGTTGAATTAGTTGTTGAATTAGTTTAGTTTGTTGAACTTAGAGAGTGTTATTCATAAACAGTTTTCTCAAGGGGCTATTGCACATCCAGAATCAAACCTGGAGTTTATGCATCCACAGAAGTCCCCCTGTAGAGGTCATAGGGAGCCTGTTGTCAAAGCAGGGAAAGTGTGTCTGAAAATGAACAAAAGACCACCAGAATGCAGTCATGTTGCAAAAGGAAAGCTAAAAATAAGTCACACCCTCAATAAATTCATTCATCTTTGAGAAGATTTCACAATCAAGACACCATGTGACCCTTACTCTATCTACAGAGGAGCGTGACTCTTGTGTCCCACAGAGTCTGCACCAGAGTCTGAACACACCATCTGTCTTTGCCCTGAGGTTCACTGGGTGACAGTTGTTGGTCCAACCACACAGCTGCCTCTGGCTTTGCTCCCACCCTAGTCTCTCCCAACAGTAGAATAGGACTATGAGCAACTTGGAACCCCCATCACAAAGTGGCTGAGAAGATAAGTGAGATCATGCTTGAGTCACATCACATTGAGGTGTTTGGGGTGAGGTGCTGGGCAGACCTCAGCAGTGAGAGAGGACATATTTGGACTCATTCATGATTCAGCCTGGCTTGACTGGCACATATCAACTCTGGGCTTATCCCTACTTTTAAATACTAATAGAATTGGGCCCACCCCTGTCTTGAATATGTTTAACTAATGACCCTGTGTGTTTTGCATAGAATCTAAATACCAACCAAGTGTAGTAGGTAGAGGTACACTCTTCTTGATGTGTGACAGCCCAAGACCAATGTGAATTGTGCAATCAGACCTCCCATGAACTCTCTTCTAAGACAGAAGCTCTGAAAAGTCTGTTTGGAGTACAATATTTGGGACATGAGCATAGATGGTGTGTTTAGATTACACTACAGTTGAAGATGTTGAGAAGAGCCAGAATAGATACTGGCTTCATTTTAGAGGTGATAGAAGACTCAGGAAATGTGGCATTTAATCTAAGACCCAAAAAATGAAAAGAGTTAACTTGTAGGACAGACATTAAAAGGTCCGGGACATTGGATTTTAGGAAAGCTAAGAGGTCAATCAATCTTAGAAGAAGATGGTACTTAACTGTGGATAAATATAACTGGAAAATGAAGAAGTCTGTGTTACTCAACTTTTCATGCCTGTAAAAATGACACCTGACAAGAACAACTCAGAGGAGGACAATTTTATTTGAGGCTTACAGTTTCATAGGTTCAGTCCATGGATGACCAACTCTGTTGCTCTGGGTCCAAGGTGAGGCATAACAGTGTAGAAGAAGAATATGGTGGAGGAAATCTACTCAGCTCATGGCATCTGGGAAGCAGAGGAGAGAGAGAGAGAGAGAGAGAGAGAGAGAGAGAGAGAGAGAGAGAGAGAGAGAGAGAGAGAAGGAAGAATATTAACCCTCCTGGGCATGGCCCTAGTGACCTGCTTCCTTTAGCCCATTCAAATTACTAATCCATTGAATGAATGAATGCACTGATGAGGTTACAGCTCTCATAATCTAATCATTTCACCTCTGACATTCCTGTATTACATAACACATAAGCCTGTCAAGGGGACACCTCATATCCAAACCATAACACAGTCGAAATTTTATTTCTTCTAGACTGATCTTTAATAAAGCCGCATCTGTGTTTACTATTGTCATCCCTGATGGTTGTTTTGCGTGTCATGTCTGTTAGCTATTGGCTTCCCATTAAAATCACCAGCAGTAGAGAGAACTTTAAATTACCTGATGTTTTAAAGCTCCCTAGACCAAACTGATTAGTTCCCCAGACCAAATCAATTACCTTCATGTTACAGGAAGTGGGACAGTGAGGGTCTCTCTGTGTGTTCACTTCAATAACACCAGGGTATGAAGTGGCCTTCTGGGAATCTAATTGGTACTAGGATCCCTAGATCCTCTCTTGAATGGCCCCAAATTGTCAGAAGACAGGGAACTCTCCCTCTGGTCCACTGAGGTGAATATTTCATTTAGTTTAGGAAAGGCTTCTTTTGAAAGCATTTCCTGGATCCTTACTTTCACTTTAAGATTTGTCAGATGCCTGGTACCCAGAGATCATTATTCTTGGTACCTGCACAAAGGGAACGATAGAGTTAACAGAACAGAGCAACCTTTGGAAGGTTTCAGAGAGTAACTTGCATGAAATATTGTAGATTATAGTGGATAGCAACCATCTTCCAATTTGGAGAGCAAGGTGAAGCGCATCAAGAGAGACAATGAGGAAAGGTTGAGGCTGAGGAAAGGTTGCTCCTGATGGAGAGCAGTCAGCAGGGCCTCTGCAAGGAGGAAAAGCATGGCAGGATGGACCCTGGGAATTTCCAGAAGTGAATTGTGTAAGGATATAAAGTCAGAATTACCAAGGTTAGCACCAAGTTCACACCAAGAAAGGGCAAGAGCCTGTTCAATCCCACATGTGGATAAGGGGTAGGTTTCAGATGAGGTGGCAGAAGGATCATCTGATGATGCTATGTACAGGAGGCTGGAAGGGAAGGAAGCAAATGTCCCTCTTCTAATTCTGCACCTTCACTCTGAAACTTGAGCTTTGATATGCTGAAAATAAACCCCAATGTACTCAGGACCCCTGGCATACTACAACAGTGAATCCCAAAGCCAGCTACCTAACATAAGCACCTGAGCTTTCAAAAAATAATAAGGACCAGACCCCACATCTAGCAATTCTAAATGAATTCTTCTGGGATGCCTTAAGCCATTGAACAATTTTAAAGCTCCACCCACTCCAAGTGATTCTATTGGACAGCTATTAACCAACAGACCTGAAGATCTAAATAACTATCAGGGATGAATAATCATGGTTACAAAAGTAGCCTTAGTGAAGAAGAGTCTAGAAAAATTAACCACAACTGATTCGTGGCCATTCAACTTTCAAGTTATATTCATGTCCACCAGGAACGAATGGTGCCTGAACACAGAAGGCACATCATAAGATTTTGTTGAATAAATACATGAAATGATGGAAAAGATTAAAGCACCATCTCCAAGCATCACAGCTCGTTAGTGACCGAACAAGAGTTAAAACCAAGATTGCCTTTCTGCTAGTTCTGGCCTCCATCTGACACATTTTCACATATTAAATTTGCACCAAAACATTTATAATGTCAAATGCTGCAAAACTAGCATCTCTTGCTGGTTGCAGCATGAATTGTTAGAGCTCTTTTGCAAAGCAATTAGGCTGAATGTGTTGAGGGCTATGAGAATGGACATATCCTGACCCAATAATCCTATTTCTATTAATGGTCTGAAATACAGAAACACTGCTATGAAGAAATTTGTTCCTTGCAGCATTATTTGTAATTCAAAAAAAATCAGGACAATTTAAATGTGCAGGAGTAGAGGAATAGCTAAGTCAATAACTGCACTTCCCCTCAGTGTAGTATCATCAAAAAGGATTGCCCTGAAGACGTTTTCAATGTCAAATGAAAATAGGAGCAGCACTAATGTCATATGTTCAATGTGTCATACCACCTAGGAAGCAAACATGTATATTTGGAGAAAATAAACCAAAATGCTTTCGTTGTTTATGTAATGATGATAACTTTTTATTTTCCCTTTTTAAAGAATATTTTCCAATTTTTATGCAATGTGGTTATATTACTTTTGTAATGAAAAGCATAAATATAATAAACAGTTAAGACTATACATGTTAAGTTAATGGTCGTGATTACTTTGCAGACTGCTCCTCTGTGTAGTTGTTAACCTAGGATAGCCCTTCAACACCTAGAGCCTGGTTCTCAGTGCTGGCTGCTCAAAGCAGTCCCCAGGGAGCTTTCAAAACCTGGACCCCAGCCCCAGAGATTCAGATTATACGGATCTTGGACGAGAAATCTGAATATTATGTTTTTAAAAGATTCCTTTTTAATAAAACTATTTATTTTAAAATAATTTCAAACTTAGAGACAGGTCTAAGAAGATCCATTAATTTTTTAATTTTGCCACATTTGAGTTATCATTTGCCTTCTCTTTCATTGTACAATAATTGCTACTTATCTTCTGAGCCATTTTTTAAAAGTTTTCAAACATCGTGCCCTTTATCCCTCACTACCATTTGGAGATGACATAAGCCGAAGGTTCATATGCTGGAGACTGTCCCCAGGGTGGCCGTGCTTGAGATGGTGGAATCTTCAAGAAGGCAGTCCCAGTGGAAGGTGAGTAGGTCATTAAGGGAGTGCTGCCCTTGGAAGGGATTAATGTAGCTCTGGTGGGACCCCATGGGCTCCTGAGAGAGCAGGTGGTTATAAAAAGAGCAAGCCTGTCCCTTGTACTTTGTGGCTTCCTGTGTTACCTTGTGACCTCTTCTGCTTATTCCCCCCCATAGTGAAGCCATCCATTACGAAGCCTTCCCCGGAGGCCAAACAGACATGGCCACCCAGTCTTGGACTTTCAGCTTCTGAAAGTTTGAGCTAAATGAACCTCCTTTCTTTATACACTATGCATCCTCATGTACTATAATGTTATTATAAAAGAAAACAAACTAAATCACCCCTTAGGAAATCTTAGCATTTCCTAAGAACAAAGACATTCACTAACATAACCAGAATGAAGTTATCAAAATCAAAAAATTTAACATTGAGACAACAATTGACAATCCATATTCGGATTCTAAAATAAGCATTTGACAAAGAAAGTAGTTCTTGTGGGGAAATAGTCTGCCTTCTAATTGCTACTCTGCCTATAAAAGCCAAGAGCTACACTAGGGCAGGAACCAGCCCTTACCCCAGAAGCAAGCCCTTTCCTTCTTTATCTGTTTTTTCAGCCTCCCTCCAATTCTGTGAGCTTCCCTTTGTTCTTATAACCAGGGCCCCTTTATTCCAGTGAAGTCCTCGTGTTAGCCGGGGTTGATTTCTGTTGCTTGCCACCTAAGACCCTGCTGGTTTGGAGTAGTAGAGCTGAAATTGTTCCAATACTTGGCTCCTTTCTGGGTTTCCTTAGGCCTGTATGAACTGTCCTAGGACATTGCCCCCTCTCCTTTATAGGACATAAGATGGTCCACAATACAGAAACTGGTAGAAGACCAGTGTCATTCCTGTCCACAGGAAATCACATCAGGCCAGGGATCCAGGGACTCAATGGGGACCTTGGATCTCCCATAAAAGAGTTCTTAAGAAAATACCCTGACAGACTGGGGCTCTAGGTGAGCAGAGAGCATGTGGAAAGCCTGCTTCTCCCAGCCCTGATGGCAGCCACAGCCAGGAACCTACAGCCACAGAATTTTAAAGGTTATTGCTCTGACTGGATGGGAGCCAAGCGGAGGTTTGTTAAGCCCGAGCCTGTTGCGATCACTCCCTCACGGCTGAGTGAAACAAAAAGTGGTATCTATGGACCCAGGGGACACACCAGCCCCTGGGCAGGATGTCACACCTGCTTTTGTCCAGCATTCTGCATTCAGGCATTCAGGTGCAGGGCTCTATGATAAGAGAGCTTTGACCAGGGATCCTCTGTCTCGGCATGTCTGCTCAGCTCCAGGAGCTGTGAGCTGTATATTTCTCTGGAGGATGTGAGGTGTTGAATAAAGCATTCTTTTCCTTTCTGCTTCCCACTCTCCACCCTATGTTGGTCAAATATGTGGGCATGTTGTGCCAAGAAGGATGGGGGATCCAAGGTTCCCATTGAGCATTAGCGGGTTCCTCTCTCCCCTCTCTACTTCAGGACCTCTTCCTTCTCTCAAGCTTGTATACCAGGTCAAGAATGGCTCCAAATATTCATTAATAGGAGGAAGATTTAGACTCAAACTCTGGCCATGAAAAGAATGTAATTGTGGGGGTAAATATTTGCTACTTTCAGTTGGTCAAAAACATAGATTTTAAGTGTTCCCAACCACAAGAAATTTATAAGCATATGAGGTGATATATTAATTACCTTGATTTAGCCACTCAACAATGTACATATATATCAAAATATCAGTGCTGAAAAATCCGTAAATAATGGGCTGGGGATGTGGCTCAAGCGGTAGCGCGCTCGCCTGGCATGCGTGTGGCCCGGGGTTCAATCCTCAGCACCACATACCAACAAAAGATGTTGTGTCCGCCGAGAACTAAAAAATAAATATTAAAAATTCTCTCTCTCCTCTCTCACTCTCTCTTTAAAAAAAAAATCCGGAAATAAACAGAGTATGCTGCAATGAAAAGGTGAAATGGAATGAGCATCAGTTTTGATTAACAGGCTTAGATTCGGTCATAGCTTGGTCACCAAAAAGCTAAGTGACCTCAGTCAAATTTCTTCACATTGTTTTGATGCTCAAAGGGGACCATGGGAAATCTCTTAAGGATGAACCTCACATACACTGAGGTGATGAAAAATGTGCGTTGATCTCTCTCCTAATCAGCGTCTTGAACAAGGAGCATCATTTTTGAACCTCCTGCATCTGGCACATAGTGACTGCTGAGGAAATTTTCATCGATTTGAATTGTATTAATTTATAGTAGTGTCATCTGATTTAGGTTTGAAATTCATAAGACTATTCACTATTCACATTAGACTAGATGGAGACCCAACCTGACCTTTTTAGTGAGGACTAATTGTCCCTAACCTGTAACTTATTGCAAAATAAGTGATCTGTGGCAGCATTGGTAGATTGCAGCTTGAGGATAGAGCTGGGATATATCTAATAACACATAAGAAATGTCATTATGCCAGAGTTTATGTCCAATGGGAAATCCATTTTCAGATCACAAACAAGCAGAAATCTCAAATAACTTTTGTAGGTACAGAGAGAAGAAAGCCTGGATCCCGTGGAGAGACCACAAATGGAAGTGAAAAAATCAGATACAGATGCAGATCTCCAATAGGTTCAGAGCTACTGCATAGCACACGCCCAGGATGTGGTTGACAGAGCAAAGCTTTCCTTAGAAATCAATGGGCCAAAGTTGTCAGGTTGATCTTAAAGCAGAGGGATAGGCAGTGACCAATAATGGGAGCTTGGATTAAGAATTGGTCCTGGTAGGAAAAGAACCAAGTGGGTTATAATGAGCAAATGAGAAATTTAGGTGAAAAAAATTATAAAAAAGTACTACATTGGGATCATTATTTCTCTATAATCTCAAAGAATGTGTGTAGCAGCTCTACCCATATCCAGATTGGAACTCAACAATACAGCAAAATCCCGTTAGCTTCTCGGCCTTGCTCTGGTTTTGCATGAAGACATCCCATCCTGAGACATCGGATTTTGCATATGGCATGCCTGGTGTCAGATCTGCAGGAAGAGTTCATAACCAGTCTCCCACTGACCCATCAGCACAAATCCAAAGGTATCAAGGTACAAGTGATCAAAGCTAAAAGCCAAGGAAGGAGGAAATGTTTGCACCTTAAGCTGGAGAAGACAAAGACATTCCTTAAGCTCCTGAGGAGAAATCACTTTTTAAAATTTTGTAATGAAATGATGCATTGGTGGACTGAAGTAAAACAACTGTTTTTACTCAGAACAAAATTGAGTAATTCATTGGAAAAAGCATTCAATTGAGTGATGAGGACAATTCTCTTATTATTTTAATATACTCGTTGAGGTTAAATGTGTGCAGTTCAAGCAAACATTGGAGTCGACAGAGCATAGCTCTCAGGTGTTTGGAGGACAGTGACATTGAATGCTACATAAATACTCATTGTGGTGTTGCATTCCTGCTGCATGCTACTGCTTTTACCTGTGGGTCATCAATGAATTGGAACTATTCTAATAAGCTGTCGGTACAAATGGATGTGAAAATGTCATGTCCTATGTCGTAAAAACTGTTCTGTTCGTCTGATGCTGACTGAGGCAGCGACCTCAGATTCTGGCAGAGCCCAGCAGCTCATCCTGTATTAGCAGCATGGCAAGTGTTAAGGGGTGTGGCTTCCATGTTTACACATAATCTTTTCAAAGTACTTTAAGATAGTATTGTTGACCTTGGCAGAAAGGTGAGCTCACAGGTGGGCATGGTGGCACACCTATAATCTCAGTGATTTGGGACACAGACTGGAGGATCACAAATTCAAGACCAGCCTCAGCAATTTATCGAGGCCCTAAACAACTTAGTGAAACTAGGTATGAAACAAAGGAGGGGAGGGGCTGGGGATGTGATTCAGTGATAAAGTACCCCTGAGTTCAGTACCAAAACAAAACAAACGAACAACAACAACAACAACAAAAAAAAAAACCTCCACAAAACTCATTAACATTAGCCCTGCCTGAAAGGTGGGAATATAAAAACACAAAAATGTAAGTGAGGGAAAAGTACCAGAAAATTCTTTAGGCAACAACATATGGTCTTAATGAAATCACCTAATTCCACTAGACCTTGGGGGCATCATTTGATGAAGGAACAGAGATTCAATCAGTGATTTGAAAAGTGGCTTTCTTGTTGCCCTGCATACTAATATTTTGCAGAGTAATTCAATGCACACATTTCTTTGTATACAAAAATATAACTGAAATGTTGCACAAAAATTTATGAACCAGGCTGGGGTTGTGGCTCAGTGGTAACACACTTGCCTAGCATGCATGAGGTACTAGGTTTGATTTTCAGCACCTCATACAAATAAATAAAATAAAGGTCCATCAACAACTAAAAAAATATTTTTTAAAAAATGTATGAAGCGTCACAATATACATTATTTTATAATGTGTTAATATTGTCTATATTCAATTCTATTCCAGTTTTTTTTTCCAGTGTTAGGAATTGAACCTTTGCAAGGCCTTCTGCACAGTAGGCAGGTACTCTGCCACTCTCCAGCCCTCCAGTTCACAATTAAAAAAAAAAAAAAAAATTTATTTTGATACACTACATTAGTTTCATGACCAGCTATGGGTTACAAATTTAGTTTGAAATTGATGAATTTTGATCACTAATCACCCTTCCAGTGTTCATTTCCTATTATATTCCTAAAGACAGGAAATTGGGACTCAATGCCTGGTCTAGATAATAACCCCCCTCATTGCTAGGGTGTTGTGATAGGGTAAGGATTTCATATACACTCTTCTACTAATTCAATCTGGTGTGGCCCTGAGATTTTCTACAAGTCATTTCATCAACCAGTGGTTTGAAATTTTTTGATTTGTTGATTAATTTACTCTACAAATCTTTTATTTTGGAAGCCAAACCTGGGTTTGAATCAAAGCTTCACTAGCTAAATGCCCTCCCTAATCTCCAAACGCTTGCTTATATAATAGGGATAAATGAGCTTGTGGAGAGGACGGGCCATAAGCTACGTGAGCCTGCAGCACAGTGCACAGTGCTGGCTTGGGGTGGGCACCTAATAAATGGCACTTTCTGGACAGCTTGCTGGGCACTGTGTTGGCCCCAGTGTAAGAAGGAGAACAGCCTGGAGGTCATCCATAAGTGACTGCAATGGTTCTCGTGCTCACACTCCTGTTTCTTTTTGTTTTGTTTTGTTAACTGCTTTTTAAATTTAGCAATACATCACCCACATTTTTCTGTCAGCAAGTAGAGTTGTAGGAGCTAATTTTTAATGGTTGGTTAGTATTACATTTTATGGTTGTACCATAATTTATTTCACCATTTCCTCGTCCTTTTTTTTTTTTACAAAAGGCATTTATAGTTTTATATTTAAAAAAAATATATAGAGGTAATGTATGAACATTGAAATATGAAGTAATTAAGTAGAAAACTTGCAATCAGAAAGGTAAAACCTCCTTTTCTACTCTCACCTCTTTCCATTCTGCAGCAATAACTACTCTTTGAGTATGCTTTTATGTATGTTCTATTGTGAATATATTTATATAATTATGTGAATGAGCTCATATATACATATAGAAAGCAAGTTCTTCAGTATGCCTTTTAAAATTAAAAGGGGACATCTTTATTGTTAGTACAAGTGGATCTACTTCATTCTCTAAGCAGCTCTATGAATTTTATTTCATGGATAGACCATAATTTATTCAAACCATCTCCCACTGATCCAAATTCAGCACACTCTAAAAGTTGTTCTAGATTTTGCTATCATAAACAATTATGCAGTGGTGCCTGTGCACCCTGTGGAGCTTATGCTAGAATAACTAATAGAAATGAAATGATTTTATGCATTTAAAAAGTTTTGTTCTATGTTGCCAAGTGACTCTCTAGTGTGCCAATTTAGGCTAATACCAACATCATGTGAGTCTATACCCATACACCCTCCCTAAAAGTTACTATTCCATCAATATTTTATATTTGATCTCTTATTTTCTCATTTGGAAATATTAACAAGAATACTGACATCAACTCAGAGGAGGAAAGTATCGATAAGGGAGGTTGCCCTCCTTGTCCTTTCTGGAATTATATGGGCAAAGAGCTCCTCAAAGGAAAAGTCATTATACCTTCCAGAAGAGATTTGACATTGGCCATTGTCTCTACCTGCAGAACACAAGTTTTTCTGAAGTCTTTAAGTACCCACTGTGTGTCAGATCATGAATCAAAAGACAAACAACAAGCCTGGATACTGTTAGCTCTCTCCAACATGGGCCATGACGCCTCTGGTATGACTGATGTCACCTTCTTCCCTTTATTCTACCAACTGAAAGGTAGTTATAATAACACCACCTTTTGTTGTATAAGACTTGCTGATGAAGAAAGGACTCTGGGAGCCCAGTAGAATTCAACATGAACAGATGTTGAAATTATGTTGAGTAGCTTTGGGATTGTCCTCTTAACTTACTTGCCATCTTCAGGCAGAAGAAAATCCTCCTTCACCATAACTCTTGCTCCTGGTTCTTTGCAAATCTGTATAATGATTTTGATATTAGGTCAATTGATATTAGGTTTAAACATAACAAAGTGCTGTATAAGGAAAAATACCTATGGTCAAAGCCAAAATATCAATAATGATAATAATGAAGAACTGGTAAACTGGCTTAAGACAACTACAGTAGATTAAAATGACCAGATGATACATACAGAAGCAAGACATCCCTACTATTGAAAAGCTTCAATGAACTTAGAAATAATTACACCAAATATCCTCAATTCATTTTATGAATGAGGACATGAAAGCAGAGAGGTTGTGTAACTCATCCCAAGTCATACAGTATGTTGGTGGCACCTATATAACCTACAATAATACCAAATAAGAAATACATGCATACAGATGTTTGGTGTTGAAAGAATACTATTTTAATATATAGAATGTTCCCATGCATGCTGAATAAATTGAAGTATGAAATCCACTTAAATTAAATGGATACAAGATCCAATGGATTCTATATTTCCAGTTATTTTTAATAGACTATTGTTATTACCTTTCTGGTGTGATTTCTGTTTCCTCTAGAACAACATTCCTGCCCAGCACCACGGTCTGTGAAACTCTAGATTAAATAAATAAATAAAATAAAAAATCCCCTGTAACTGTAAAAATCTCATCTTGGTCCTGTTAAAACAGGATGGGCACAGGCATGTTCTGGGCTACACCCAGAGTCAAGGAATATTTGACCAAAAGTCTTTTATCTTCTCCTAGAAGCTGCTGTTGTCACTAATAGCAAAATCAATAGGAAAAAATAACTTTAATTTGGGAAATTCTAGTACTTCCAACTGTGATACAGAAAAGATAGTTAGCAAGCTCAGGAGACATCAGTGAGAAATTTGGGAAGTTTCCCTTTGGAAATTAGGTGGGACACTGGAGCTTGTCCTGAATTCAAAAAATTCTAGCTCTTTTGAGAAGCAGGGCAGAGACTGCTTGTCAGCTTGTGTGGTAGAAGCAGAATATTCATCACACTTGGCCTTGCGGAAAGAAAGACCCCCCCCTAGGGCAAAGCTCCTTGTGCACCTGCTATAAGGAGCACCTGCTGGCGGCCATAGAGAAGTGATGGAGCAGCACTCTGGCGCCTACTGTGTGACATATTTAAAATTTATTATTATTTTAAAGTTCATTATCATCTGCAAGTTGGCTCCATGAATCTTCTTCTGGGATTAAGGCTTAAAGCAGAACTGATCTCTGGAATATCCATTCTTTTGGAAAAGACTATGGGGAATCTGGTCACTGATGGAAAACCGCAAAGCTATCTAAGCTTTCCACCAGGAATTGGGCAGGTTCACATTCTTTCGCATTTCATTGGCCAAAGGAAGTCATGTGGCCACGCTACTGTCAGCGGGGCAGGGTAAAGCAATACACGCCTCCGCTGTCAGGGGGCTCTGCAAACCACGTGGCGAGGACAAACCCAGTGGGAAGGGCTGTGAACGTTCAGGAACAATAACACAACCTACCTCTGGGACTTCGACCCATCTGAATGAACCCAGAAACAGTGTTCTTCAAAAATCATCAGGCTTATGCCTTTTGGACTGTGCTAACTGGTTGCTCTCAGGTCAAGGGCACCAATGTTAGGTTATGATTTTAAAACTAAATATGGATTAAGGTCGAGTTTAACAGGGGTGTGGTTTTTACTCTGTGCAACCCGCATCATCCCACATCCTTTCCTCAGTACTACTGTAGGTAGGTTTGATGTGGTTCCTGTGTTTTCCAAAACTAGACAACCAGAAAATGCTCATAGGCTATTTTCCTAAAAGGCTAATACTTTGTCTTTTTTTAATATGGAAAAATTGTTGAAAAGGGTATTTTGAATTGCGGCTGTAAAAGAAAAATCCAACTTTGAGCAATTGCTAAGTCAATTTTCCTTTCTTGTGTGTGTAGATAAAACAGGAGGAAAGGCCAGCTGGTAGATTGGCAGTTTTAAAAAAAATGAATTCTACTTTTTTTTGGTAGTGGTTGTTCATGAAAATCAGTTTCAGATGATAATGAATCTGAAATACAAGTTCTACTCCAGCAAAAGGTTTTCAAGGGATTGTTTTGACTGTTTCTGGATAGCACCCTCAGGCCCTCTACCAGCAAAGATTCTTCCCGCAGTACCTTGTTTGAGCCAGGAATCTACTCAGCAAAAATGCAAGATACAGAAACTTGGGGCTAGGAACTTTGCCAGGGGGACTTACAAGAATGAGTTCTGCAAGCCCCTCCCCCCAAGAGGTAGTAGTCACAGAGGGGAGACACAAGTAAACAGGAAATTATACAAGAGTGACAGAACTTTTTAATTACAAAGGAGGGAAGTGTAACTCACTCTTACAAAATGGGGAAGATGTTCTAGAGAGAATAACCTGTAAACAGAAGTGAAGAATGAAGTGACATCATCCAAGGGAAACGAATCCTGGAAATTTTTTTGTGGGGCTCAATTGTAGATCCTCAGAAGGAGGCAAAAGGGGCAGGGCCTGTGATTCCCTCATTGAAGCCTGCAATACTCAGCTTTCTATGATAGAGCCTCTCACCTTTCCAGTTTTTGTGGGTTTTTTTTTTTCAAAATATTTATAAACTTATAATTTATTTTTTTTTGTTTTGCTAAAATATTTTAAATACCAAAAAGAACAAAATACGCATGTACCTACAACTCAGGATTAACAAACATTATTGTTATGTCATTTTATTTAATCTTTTAGAAATACATGACTACCAATAAATTTGGAGTTTTCTAATAACTTTTTCCTGGTCACATTTCTCTTCATTCTTCTCTCCTTGGAGTTAACTGCTATTATGAATTTTGTAACTAGTTCTTATTTTTATGTTTATCAAAATGTACTAATAAATAACATTGTTTTATGTATGCAAATTTTATGTAAATGATCCCCTGTACATAATATTTTGTAAAGTGAATGTTTTTCAGTATTATTCATCATATGAATACTCCAATATTAATTTGGCTGTATCGCTGCTATCAACATATGGATTATTGTCCACTTTTTGTTCTTACCAGAAAGACTGCAGTAAAAGATAAATAACTCTTGGTATGGAGTTATTTATCTACTTACTTATGTTTTCATGTTTGGTTAGGGCATTACCTGAAAATGTGATTGCTGCTCATCGAGAAATCACATTTTAAGTTTCACTCAACGTTACTATCTCATAATAAATTATTTGTTCCCATTTATTTTTTTCCTTGAAGTCTTGGTGAAGATGTTTCTTTTCTCTTGATCTTCACTGTTTGCCGTCCTGTGTTAATTCATTTTAATTTGCAATTCTCCCATGAGTGAAGGTCTATGAGATGTAGCCTTTTTTTTATTATTGTAAATAATACTTCTCTTTAAAAAAAAAGCTTTAGTTGTTCTTTTTAAATATACATGACAATAGAGTGTATTTTGACATCTCATACATACACGAAGTATAACTTACTCTAATCAGAATCCCATTCTTGTGGATGAACGTGATGTGGAACTACACTGGTTGTGTATTCATATCTGAGCAGAGGAAAGTTGGATGTAGTCTTTCTCTAATACCTGGATATATCCCTCCTCATTCCCTCTTCCCTTGGTGATGTTGATTCCTTTCTCTCATCTTCAGATCCCATGATCCTTTCCTCTCATGTACTCTCAATGGATAACTTTACTTCTTATTTCGTGGAAAAAATATTAAAAAATCAGAATAAAATGACATGATAAACCACCTTTGGACCTATCAGTGTTGCCTGTCTTCTCTCTAGTTATGGAGAAAGGTTCTTGCTCCAATTTAAGGACAGTTCTTCCTCTTGTAACATAAATCCTACCTCTCTTCATCTCCCGAAGCCTATTGTCCCTCCACTTTCCTCCCTGTGTCTTTCATTAGGGCAGCACACTTTTTCTGGTAAACAGCCAGATAATAAGAGCCTGATGATATCAGTCTCTATGTCCTAATTAGAAGAGGAGGAGGAGGAGGAGGAGGGAAAGAAAAGAAAAGAAAAGAAAAGAAAGAAAGAAAGAAAGAAAGAAAGAAAGAAAGAAAGAAAGAAAGAAAGAAAGAAAGAAAAAATCTTTTTAAGTGAGCAGAAGTGTGGATCTGGTTTGCAGTAATAGTTTGTCAGTCCTTGTCCTATATCATCAGTCATGTCTCCAGCTTTACTAGCTTTTCCCCCATCCATATGTAAGTATGCTGTAATGCCACCCATCTTAATAAACACTACTTCAACTAGGAAGTCAGTCATGATTTCTCATCTGAGCTCAAATGAAGTGGGAATCTATGTGGCAAGATGGAAAGTGCATGTAATAGGAGTAAGGAGAACTGGGTTTATCTACTTCTGTTGTAAAAAGAAAATGTATATATATTTAGACCTGGGACCTCTCTAGCTAGTGCCTCAGTTTCTCTACTTCCCTTTAAAATAAAATTTCCTAAAAGGGTGGTCTGTACTTGCCATATCCATTTCTCCTCTCCCTTTCTCCTTTGAACCTATTCCAGTCAGTTTTGGGTCCTCTCACATGAAGCTATTATTTTCAAGGTTAGCAGCCTCCATCTCCAAAGGCTAATTCCTCTGAGTGCCCTTTGAAACCCCTTCTTAACCTATCTCCTCCTTCTGGGTTCCTCCCATACCTCATGGCTGTTATGGTTTCTCTCCTTGACTAAATGCTTGGACATCGAGACCCTGGCTCTCTTCTGTCTTCTCTTCTAGATCTACCCTTTGTTCCCCAGATGATTCCATCCAGTCAGATGGCTTTAAATTTCAGCTTTATATTGATGACTTCCAAATTCATATCTTCTGTCCAAATCTCTCTCTTGAGCAACACACATACACACTCACCTTAAATTGGCTGCCCAAAGGATAGCTCAGATTACTCACATCTAAAACAAAAATCTGGATGTCTACCTTCCGAACTGTTTTCCCAAGATTGCCTTCGGATCATATCTTGAGTATGACTACATCTAAACAGCAACGTTTTTTTAAAAAAAATTATACATGAAGGTAAGTTTCTTGAAAGAAAATTGTTTACCCAAAGTAGCATCTGACATGTAAGTAGCCCCTTAGTAAATACTGGCTGAATGAATGGATGATTGTGTACTTGAAAGTATAAAGGATTTTAAACACAGCTCCAAGACCACTTCTTTGTAGCTCATGTGCTTCTATCATGGGGCTCTGGGGGACTGTGCCAAGGGCTCTGATGTGTGACGCCTGTGGCATAGATGCAGTGTTACCGCCCCAGTGGAGGACGTTGCTGAGGCTTTTCCTGGCACCATTCATTCCCACCCTGCCCTTCAACACCATTGGTCAACAATGGCTCTGTCCCTCTCACTACCTTGGTAGTTCAGAGACAGCTCCCCAGTCTGTGTCATCTGCCAGGCCAGTGACAACCAGTATGGATGGGGACGACCTGCCAAATTAGCTGTCACTTTAAGAAGTGAAGAATGAGAAGGTCACAGAATAGGCTTCTAGATCTAATTCACTATCCTTGTAGTTCATGGAAATTCCTCCTGAATTGGGGCAATATCTTGATTATCAGTACTTGTCTTGTCTGGTGTTACAAACTGACATTTCTTTCTAAATTTCCTGGAGTTTTAGCAGAAAGTCAAGAGAGAAAGCATCAGTATCTTCAAACTACATTCTCCCCAATGTTGCCCCAGCCAACTGATGAAAGAATTTGCCTCTGGCCCCAACCCCTCATATCCAGAAATGAGAATCCAAGGTAATGAATCATTAGGCACAGTTTACAATTTTTATTAAAGGTTCTGCTTTTTTCATTTCTCAAATGCTACTTTCGGAAGTGTGAGGGTCTCACTAAAAGGCAGTTGATTCTGTAGTTCACTTTCTTAGACTCTGGGTTTGAACTGAACACACTTACATGGTGAGAATGGGAAAAGCAGGCGGCAGCTCTTGGGACTGAGGAGGGGTTTCTGCCTGTGTATCCCTCTTCACTCCTACCCTCTACTGTGACTGTGGCAGCTTGCCCCTGTAAATATATATGACAAGCAGAGACATGGCCTCTTTCAGGGCTCCGTGCTGCAGCTGGGGAACCTAGCCAAGGGAGAGGCAGCTTATTCAAGGGGAACAACAAGTTCTCCTACTGTACTGGGTCTCAAATGTAGACACAGGATCTGTCAAAGGAGCTTCTCTGTTCTCCATATTGACAGCTCCTTCTCGCTCCATGACGTGCGTGCTGCAGAAACATGACCTGGAACTGATGTGTTCTGACAGAAACAAGCTGGAAGATTTTAGACTCTTTTCCTTTTTCTCTCTTCCTGATGGTGCAGAACTGTTGAAGGGGGAGGGAGGCATGTGGCTGTCAGAAGAGGGCCTGAGTCCCATGGTCACAGCTAGCCTCAAAGCTGGGCTCCAAGGCCCACTGAATCTACATGTGGTTTCTTGGATTCTTGAAAGGTGACGCTGTTCCCTGCATGTGGAATTTTACTATATAAAATAAAACAATGTTGGAATATCTGCAAAATGGGGACTAAGAAGAATGGAGGAAATAAAAATCAAACTGAAGCTTTGCAGACCACAGGTAAATGTGATAATCAAGATAACAAGAAAGCAATACAGAAAAAGGATGCAATGAACTGCTTATTCAGTCCAATGTATGCAATCAGTTTTAATCTTGGAAGATAATCTATTATGATCAAGCCTGATTGCCTATATTAATAAAATTGAACTCTCTCTGGGTAACTTTAAATTTTCTTTTCAGGAATTTTTAAAAAATTCTACCTAGATGATCAAAGCATTATGTTAATCAATCCATTCAGCAAATATTTAAAAGCATTTTCTATGTGTTAAGTCCTGTGGCTACAACAGTATGGAGGAGAAGGAAGAGTCTGTGGGGCTTATCTTTGTTAGAGGTTGACTATATAAACGAGAACACAACATCTGACAAATGGATGGAGAAAATAAAAGAGAGACTTCAAAAGAGGATGTGAAGGAGAGATTCAGAGAATGAGAAGAAGTGGTCCTACGAGGATGGGGAAGGGCCTCTGGGTAGAAGAGGCCCTGCAAAGGAAAAGGGCAAGATGTGTTCAAGGAACTGAAAGAAAGCAAGGTGGCAGAAGCCAGGAAGGGCGAGAGGGGGAAGGGGGGCAGAACAGGCAGAGTTGGTGAGGGTGTTGGGATTTTATTCTAAGTGAGTTAGAATGTCAGTAAAGAGTTTTATGTAGAGAAGGATGTAATACAACACACACACACACACACACACACACACACACACACACCTTTATATATAAAAAAGCAACGATTTCAAACTGCAAGTAGTTTTCCTCCCAGAACCATATGATAATAAGCTGCAGTATAAAGCCCTGCATTAGTTACAATTTGCGCTGTAATTGCCCCCAAATTTAGTAGCACAAGACAACATCTGTTATCTCAGGATTTTTTGTGAGTCAAAAGCCAGGATATACAAAGAAATCAAAAATCTTAACACCAAAACAAACCAAATAACATAATCAAAAAATGGGCAAAGGAACCGAACAGATACTTCTCAAAAGAAGAAATACAGGGCTGGGGTTGTAGTTCAGTAGTAGAGTGCTTGTCTAGCATGTGTGAGGCACTAGTTCAATTCTCAGCACCACATATAAATAAATAAAGGTCCATTGACAACTAAAAAAAAATTTAAAAAAGAAGAAATATGAACAGTCAACAATATATGAAAAAAATGGTCAACATCTCTAGCAATATAAAACTACACTGAGATTTATTTTCACGCCAACCAGAACGGGAATTATCAAGAATACAAGTAACAAAAAATGCTGGCGAGGAATTGGGGGGGGGGGAATAAACTCATACATTGCTGGGGCATTGCAAAACAGTGGCAACCACTCTGGAAAGCAGTATGGAGATTCCTCTAAAAACTAGAAATGGAACCACCATTTGACCCAGTTATCCCACTCCTTGGTATATATCCAAAGGATTTAAAATCAGCATACATAGTGACACAGCCATATCAATGTTTATAACAGCACAATTCACAATAGCTAAGCTATGGAACCCACATACATATCCATCAATAGATGAATGCATAAAGAAATTGTGGTACATACATACAATGGAATATTACTCAGTCATAAAGAAAAATGACTTTATGACATTTGCCAGAAAATGGATGGATCTGGAAACAATCATGCTAAGTGAAATAAGCCAATCCCCAAATACCAAAGGTCAAATACCTTTCCTGATATGTGGATTCTAATCCACGATAAGATGAGGGGAGGAGGAAAATACAAGTTCAGTGGATCACACAAAGGGGAATGAAGGGACGGGAGAGGGATAGGAATAGGAAAGACAGTGAAATGAATCTGATATAACTTTCCTATGTACATATATGATTATACCACAGTGAATCTCATCATCATGTACACCCACAAGA